ACTAGAGAGGATAACTCCTTTGAGCAATGACCATGATAGTATTTGTAGAAAAGAGAAAGAGATGCAACTTTACGACGATGGGAAAGAGGTTCAAGCTTAGCAGATAGTCCAGGTCCAACAACATTTACAATGCGTTTTTGGACCTTGTCAAGAAGAGAAAGTGAATCGTTAGAAGAACCAGCCCAAATATGACAACAGTATTCCATACAGGGACGAATAAGAGATTTGTAGAGGTAGAGAATGGAATCAGAAGTAAGCAAATGGCGAGCACGATAAAAAGAAGCAACTTTAGCAGAAGCTAATTTAGCAATCGATTTGTATATATGGTTTCCATGAAAGGTCAGTAGTAAGCGATAATCCAAGAAGACGTAAAGAGGAGGACTCAGTAAGAGGATTGCCATTCATTAATATAGGAATGTTGACCATATTACGGTAGTTGTTTGCAGTAAGCAACTGGGTTTTTTTAGAGTTGAAATTCACAAGCCACTGGGAACCCCAATCTATTACTGAAGTGAGATCGGGTTCAAGATCAGCTGTAAGACTTTTTGTCAAGACAGGAGTATAAAGTTGAGTCATCAGCAAAAAGAGCTACTTTAGATGAAAGGTTGTCAGAAAGATCGTTTATGTAGATAAGAAACAAAACAGGGCCCAGGATGGAACCTTGGGGAACCCCAGAAGTTACTGGAAATAAAGAAGAGTGTTGGCCTTCAAGGATGACTTTAATAAATCGGTTAGAAAGAAATGATTTGATAATCTCAAAAACTTTCCTAGAAATACCATATGAAGCAAGCTTATGAAGAAGACCAGCATGCCAAACTTTGTCGAAAGCTTTAGATATGTCGAGAGCAATAGCCCTAGCCTCACCGCCTCCATCTAATGCACGATAAAATCATTCAGTTACAGCAGTTAACAAGTCGGCCGTAGAGCGAGAGGATCGAAAACCGTATTGATTGTCTGACAGTAGTTTATTTTACTCAAGATGAGATGTGAGGAGTTTGTTGATCAAAGACTCAAAGACCTTGCTAATAACAGAAAGAAGACTGATCGGACAATAATTGGAGGGGTCAGAATTTTCTCCAGAGTTTTTGAATATTGGAACCACATATGCCATTTTCCAACAAGCAGGAAAACAAGACTCAGTCAAACACTTGTTAAATAGTTTAGAGAGAATTGAAGAAAGTTCTGGAGAACAATTCTGCAAGACTGTGACAGGAATGTTGTCTGGACCACAAGCTGTAGACGAGTTTAATTGAGATATGACTTTAGCAACAGAAGCCGGAGTGATTTGAATGTCTAACAATGAGTCAACCTGTTTGACTGGAATGGAAGGGAGAGAATGTTCATAAGATTCAAGAGTGGAATTAGAAGAAAAGTTCTTTGCAAATAGTTCTGCCTTATCCTTGGGAGAGGTAATAAGATCAGTCGCATGAATGAGAGATGGAATGTTAGATCTACCCTTGTTAATAATGCTGTTGAAGATTTTCCAAAAGTCTTTAGAGCCTAATTTCTGCGATAAGATGCGAGATTTAGTGAACTGAGAATAATGGAGTTTAGTATCAGAAAGCACCTTTTTACATCAATTTCTTGCAATAATAAATAGCCGTTTGTTCTCAAGAGAGTTGTTCTTTTGAAAAAGATGAAAAAAATGATTACGATTAGATATAGTAGCCGCACAAGAAGGAGAAAACCATGGAGTAGAATGAGGCTTGACTTGAAACCCACGCGAAGGAATAAGAGCTTCCATTCCAGCCTGAATCCAGGAGGTTACGTAGGAGGCGCATTTGTCAGCTGAGAGAGAAAAAACATCAGCCCAAGGACCATCACGAAGAAAATCACGAAAGGAATCCCAGTCAGCTTTAGGGTAGTAGTAGGTGGTGCGATGATAAGGTGAGCCCAAAAAAGAAGTACGAGAAGAAAGATTTATAGAGATCATTGCATGGTCAGAACCACCTAAGGGAGAAAAGGGAAAAACTGAACATAAGCTAGGGTCAGAGACAAGACATAAGTCAAGGAGTGAAGGTTAATGATTAGGGTTGTCAGGAAAACGAGTCACAAAGTTAACTATCTGAGTAAGAGATTGAGAAACGCAGAAGTTAAAGGCTTTAGTGCCAGCAGGATCAGTGGTGTTAGAACCAAGCCATTCAGTGTGATGGGCATTAAAATCACCAACAACAACAATATTGGCAGAGGGGTAAAGAGAGAGGGCATGGTCAATTTGATCAGAGATTACATCTAAGAGAGTGCAATCATGGGAAGAAGGAGAACGATAAAGAACAAAGAGAAAGGTGATAGAGCGAAGAGGTGCTAGGCAAAAGCACATAAAAGAATGGTCAAAGGATTCGAACCTGATTTCACGACAAGTATGGAAATTAATGCGTATGTATACCCCTAAACCTAGCATGTGACTGTTTGAGTCTTTACGAATCAAAGGATAGTACCCATCAACACTGACATCTGAAGAAGGAATTGTAGAATTTAAATTTGTTTCACTAAGTGCAAGCAAGTCTGGTGAATTTTGCAGGAGGTAAGACTCAACTGATGGAAAGTTGCTTCGTAGACTGCGAATATTTGTAAAAGATATATTAAAATATTTAGGTGGTGGGGATGGTTTTTTAGGTTTTAAATTTTTGGTTACTTTGGTCATGATTGGGTTTAATGAGAACTTGACTCATTCATAGATACAGCACAGCCTCCTAATCAATGAGCTATGCAGTTGTCTCAGTCCTGTTAATTAACCCTAAGCCGTGACATAGGGCTCCTTTATGTGGCCTTGACAATGCACACCAAAAGCATTAACAGGGACACCATCCATGCGCAACATGGCACTGTTAATACTCTGATATTTTGCAGCTGTTGATGGAATCAGCCTCTCTGAGAGCTACCACAGAGTTCGGGAAACCTTACTACCAGCCGGCCTTAGAACCATTAAACTGAGTTTTAGAGCTGTACCCTCATATGGAGATAACAGGAAGAGTTGCAATGCCATTATCAAGGAGGCATAAGCAAAACTCTATGAGTAGAGTCAAGGAGATCCAGCATTCATTATTCTAGGCAGGAAACAATGTAACACAGGTTACATCTACGCCAGCCTAATAGATGAAGAAGGGGTTTGAGGCTGGTTAGCAGAATTTTTCTGCTTACCCCTAAAGTCTTTGCCTAAGAGGCCTTCTACAAGACAGTAGCAGGATGCAGTTAACATCTGCCCAAGATGAGTATTTTTATCGAGACACCATCTCTAGCCTTGACTCAACCAAGAGACCCAAGGCAGGGGATGTTTAGCTGGATGCAGTTAACATCTGCCCAAGATGAGTGTTTTTATCGAGACACCATCTCTAGCCTTTACTCAACCAAGAGCCCCAAGGCAGGGGAATTTTTAGTTGGAGTTTATTTCTCCTAGCCTTTGTCTAATAAGAGCACACTCTGCAAGGCAGCAGGGCTTGTGGCAGGTGGTACTGGGTTAGGTGATACCAGTAGCAGGATTGATCTCGATTATCCTGACCTGACCTGGTCTTACTGTTTTCTTTAAAACCTAACTAATTTGTCACCTTGTCTAGTAGGAGTAAGTTACGCATCTTTGACAAAAATAAATAAAACTGAACTATCGAACTAATTATAGATAATTTAGAGATACATTATTTATATATTTTTAGAATTAGTAATTTTTAAATTGAGCTATTCAAGAATAATTGAGAAATTCAAGATAATTGTATAAAATAATAATTTTATAATTTATGACTTTCTTACTAATAAATTTTTTCTTTACTCTTTTTTTACATCATTAAAGTGTATACAATTAAAAGTTTATAAATTATACACACGCTTACTATTTGTGAAAATTTTATTGATGATTCACCCAAGTTTCATTCCATATATATTTTTTTGTTTGTTGATTGCCCAACTTACCCCACACTGTTGCTCAACTTATAAAACTTTTGGCAATATATTCTCAAAAAAATCAAAAACTATACTTTTTTCTTTACAAATTTTTAGTAAGTTAAATTATCTTTTCAAATATTGAAAAATTATGTAAATGCGACATGGATTGATCCGATATGAGATCTGTTAGATTTAGTAAAAATTGCTTGCTCTACCCTACTCAGAGTAAAATTAACCATATTACCAACCCTTGGAATTAAGGTCGGCATTCGGCAATGCCGAAACTGCTGACCTAAAAGTGTTTGAGGTCGGCAAATATTGCTGACCTTGTTTCTATATTTTATGGTAAGACCATTGTATTAATTTTGCAGACCTGATTCAGACCTCTAAAAGATTGAGGTCAACAAATTATTGCCAACCTCATTTTTTCCTAATTCCAAGGTCGATTTTACTTTTTAAAACCTATTTTCAGGTAACAGTCTAGTCGAAAAACAAAACATAATTTTATGAAAACAAAACATTATTTCTGTATATCTTTAAAATTATTATATTTAACTAATAATTATAAGTGTGTGTTTATTCATACACATAATACGTTATTAAAATAAGTCATTATTTAATTCTCATTTTATCAGTTAATTTTTTCTTCATTTTTGCAAAATTTGCAGAAACATAAAGTCGGCAAATTTATCATTATATTTTGCAAAGATATGCAAGTATTACATACATTTGAATAAATATATATATATTTTTTAATACAAAGAGCATCTAAAAGGAACGTCTTCAAAATTAAGGCAATAATTATGTAACTAGGACATAATTAATTGAGAATAAAAAGTTATTTTTCATTTTTTTCATAGAACTTTGTATAAAAAGTAAACAGTAAATTTTTGTTTTAAATTTTCTTTTAAAATTATTTTTTTAAATTATAAAAAAAAAGATCAAAATTAAAAATGTCAGCAAGGCATGTTTTTAATGTCTTTGTAACTTCACTTCAAACATTATTGAAAATTATAAGGGATTGTCCATAAGTTATGCAATGCTAAATTTCACTAATAAACCAAACAAAAAAGATTAAAAGTTTTCCTTTGCAGGGCCTTAAGTTGAACAAAAAATCAAAATAGCGCATTAAGTTTAATGAAAATTGTTGCGTAAAAGAACTTATGATCTCCTACTTCTATTTTTTAAATAAATTTAGTGTTGCATAATTTATGGATAATCCCTAAGGAAACAATTTTATAAAACAGAAATTTTTATCAAATAAAATTAAATCATACTTTTTGTGAAATTAATAGGAAATAAATTTTTTAACTCAGTAACATATTATTATTGTTTGTATTATTTTCAAAGTTTTTTTTTATTAAAAAAATTTGTCAACTAAATTTTTTTCAATATTTAATTGACATGTAGCATAAACAATGTTTTAGTGAAATCATAGATTTAACACGCAGCACGCCTGTGGTTCTTTCAAATACGCCTCGAGTCAATGATATTGTTGATGACTTCAGTAAGTTATCAATGTTATCAAATTATCAATCAACTCCTTTAGTGCCTTACAATGTAGATGCTCCATATGAAGACTCGTGTTCTCCATGTGAAGACTCGTGTTCTCCATGTGATTTATGTTCTCCTTTGTTATTTTCAACGTATGAAGAAGCGGATGAAACAAAAAAGTCAAAAGAAAATAAAAAAAATGCAAAAAGATGTTTAATTCATACCATATTAATTTCAAGTGATTCTATAAAAGAAGATTTAGTTAAAGAAAATTGCATCAAAAAAGGTGCTTGTAAAGAAGATGCGATTTTGTGTTTAAGCTCCACCTTGAACAGTTCTGTATCTTGTAAGATTTTCTGATAAAAATCTTTTATAATAAACTATATAATTTTTAGCAATCTCATTAGTTTATTTCATAAACTGATTTTGTTTCGAGTTATAATTAGCATAATTGTTTTTTAAAAATAATTTATATTTTATAAAATTTAACATGAAAGTTTAAAATTAAGATAAAAGAAAAAAAAGAGACTTTTAGATTAATTATTTATTTATTTTCAATTAAAAGGTTTCCAACGATCTGTAAGCTTTATAAGTTCAAAATCAAAGCCGAAAATAAAGAAAGTTTTTTCTGCTGCTGTTTTGTCATTAGATCATAATAGTAGCGTTGTTCCACTTTCTCCTTATGGTAAATTTAAGGTAAAGATGATTGTTATATAGACTTAATAAAGAATTTATCACACCTAATACCATGTTTAAGAAATCAAAATGATTCTTATGTAAAACTTACTCAAATATATATATATATATATATGTATATATATATATATATATATATATATATATATATATATATATATATATATATATATATATATATATATATATATTTTTTTTTTTTTTTTTTTTTTTTTTTTTTAACATCTTCACTTCCAACAAGGCTGCAAGCAACCACTATAAGAGTTGGAAGTTACTGGAAGAGAAAAGACTAAATCTGTAGAGCAAGATAACGATTGACTGATGACTTAAAAGATTGCAAATTATATGAATCAGGAAAGCAAGATGAAGGAAGCGAATTCCAAAGAACTGATGTTCGAGGAAAAAAACTAGAAGAATAAGAGTTTTTGAAGCACTTAGGAACAGTCACAGAAAAAGGATGAGACTTAATTGAATGGCGAGTAACACGAGAATGAATTTTAGTAGATGGCACAAGGGACGCTAGCTCTTTAGAGCAGTGCCCATTATAGTATTTGTAGAAAAGAGAAAGAGAAGCAACATTACGACGATGTGACAAAGGTTGGAGATTGGCTGCAAGAGCAGGTCCAACTATGTTTACAATTCGTTTTTGCACCTTGTCTAAAAGAGAAAGAGCATCATTAGAAGATCCGCCCCAGATGTGGCAACAGTATTCCATACAGGGACGGATTTGAGATTTATAGAGATAGAGAATAGAATCTGGAGTAAGAAAGTGTCGAGCTCGATAAAGAGATGCAACCTTAGCAGATGCTAATTTTGCAATGGATTTGATATACGGTTTAAAAGAAAGATCAGAAGTAAGAGTTAATCCTAGAAGATGAATGGTAGATGACTCATCTAGTACATTACCATTCATAAATATAGGAAGATCTAAATTATTACGATAACGATTGGCCGAATAAAATTGAGTTTTATCTGAATTAAAGTTCACCAGCCACTGTGAGCCCCATGCTGTAGCAGAAGTGAGATCCTTTTCAAGCTCAGATACCCCCTCCAAGCAATCAGAGAGTGTAGGCTTCTTATCATGACAAGAGTAAATGGTAGTGTCGTCGGCGAATAATGCCACCTTAGATGTGAGAATATCTGGAAGATCGTTAATGTAAATTAAAAAGAGTATAGGGCCAAGGATTGAACCTTGAGGAACCCCTGAAGTTACAGGATGTGAAGAAGAGTGTTGTCCATCGAGGACAACTTTTATACTACGATTGGAAAGAAAGGACTCAATAATCTTAAAGACGTTACCAGCTACACCATAAGAAGAAAGCTTATGGAGAAGACCAGCATGCCAAACTTTATCAAAAGCTTTAGAAATGTCAAGTGCGATAGCCTTAACCTCTCCACCTCTATCTAATGCACGGTAAAACCTATCGGTTATTACTGTTAGCACATCAGCTGTAGAACGAGAAGACCGAAATCCATATTGATGATCAGAAAGTAAGTTATTTGATTCAAGATGAGAGATTAAGTGTTTGTTGATTAAAGATTCAAAAACCTTGCTTATGACAGGAAGAAGACTAATGGGACGGTAGTTAGATGAATCAGATCGCTCTCCGGAATTTTTGAAAATAGGGATAACAGATGCTGCTTTCCAGCATGATGGAAAACAAGACTCTGATAAGCACTTGTTAAATAGTTTAGAAAGTATGGATGAAAGCTCCGGAGAACACCTCTGCAAAACTACAACAGGAATGTTGTCAGGACCACAAGCTGTTGAAGAGTCTAAGCAGGAAATTACTTTAGATACAGAAGCTGAAGTGATGCGAATGTCAAGCAAGGGGTCAACCTGTTTGATGGCTATGTCAGGTAAAACGCAACTAGTGGAATCAAGAGATGATATTGATGAAAAGTTCTTAGCAAACAATTCAGCTTTGTCTTTAGGTGAGGTGACAAAGTCTGAACCATACAAGAGAGAAGGAATAACAGATTTGCCCTTATTATTGATACTGTTAAAGATTCTCCAGAAGTCTCGAGAGCCTAATTTTTGTGATGAGATACGAGATTTAATGACCTGGGAATAGCGAGCTTTGGCGTCAGACAAAACCTTTTTACAATGGTTTCTGGCGATAGTGAACAGATGTCTGTTTTCTGGAGAATTGTTTTGCTGGTAGATATGGAAGTAACGGTTTCGATTAGAAATTGCTGCAGCGCAATGTGAGGAAAACCAAGGAGAAGAGTGAGGCTTGACCTGGAATCGTTGAGAGGGAATAAAAGATTCCATGCCAGCCTGAATCCACGAAGTTATGTAAGAAGCACATTTGTCAGCAGGAAGACGAAAGATTTCTACCCAAGGGCCATCACGAAGAAAATTACGGAAAGAGTCCCAGTCAGCTTTAAGGTAGTTGTATGTGGTACGATGATAGGGGGATTCTGATGAAGTAGAAGAATTTGATAATAGTTTTAGAGAGATCAAACCGTGATCAGAAGTACCTAAGGGTGAATGTGGAGAAATTGAGCACTGACTAGGATCCAAAACAAGACATAAGTCGAGTAGAGAAGGTAAATGATTAGGGTTGTCTGGAAAACGAGTTGGAAAGTTGACTATTTGAGTTAGAGATTGAGAAAGGCAAAAGTTGAGGGCCTTAACGCCAGCAGAGTCACTGACACTAGAGCCAAGCCAATCAGTGTGATGGGCATTAAAGTCACCAACAACGACGATATTGGCCGATGGATAAAGAGAGAGGGCTTGGTCAATTTGATCAGAAATAACATCAAGAATAGTGCAGTCTTGGGATGAAGGAGAGCGATATAGAACAAAGAGAAAGGCAATAGAGTGAAGTTGTGCTAAACGAAAGCACATAAATGAATAGTCTGTAGATTCAAACCTAGTTTCACGACAAATGGGTGAGTTCTTACGAATGTAGATGCCCAGGCCAAGCATGTGATTATTGGAATCTTTACGAATTAAAGGAAGATAACCATCAACACTAAGATCACAAGATGGGACAGCCGAACTCAAATTAGTCTCACAAAGAGCAAGTAGGTCTGGTGAACTTTGCAAGAGATAAGACTCAACAGAAGAAAAGTTACTTCGAAGACCACGAATATTAGTAAATGATAGGTTTAGAGAACTTGGTGATGACAATGGTTTTTTGTGTTTTTTAGTTTTCGGTACTTTAGTCATTTTAAATTTATAAAGAACTTGACTCAAGTATAGATAGTACTCAGTACACTATTTAACAACTAAGCAATAGCCTCATTACTCTTAATAAACCCTAAGCCGTAACAAAGGGCTCCAAATGTGGCCTCTGCAATGCACACCAAAAGTACAAACAGGGACACCATCCATGCGCAACATGGCACTGTTAGTACTCTGATATTTTTCGGCTGTTGATGGAATCAGCCTCTCTGAGAGCTACCACAGAGTTCGGGAAACCTGACTACCAGCCGGCCTCAGAACCATAAAACTGAGTTTTAGAGCTGTACCCTCATTAGGAGATAATAGAATGAGTTGCCCAGTCATAAAAATAGAGACACAAGCAATACCCACGCATTGAGTCAAGAAGATCCAGCGTTCAACATCCTAAACTGGAAACAATGTATTAAAAATACATCTGCGCCAGCCTAATAGATGAGGAAGGGGTGCGAGGCTGGTCAACAGATAGAATCTGTTTACCCCTTAAGTCTTTGCCTAGGAGGCCTTCTACAAGACAGCAGCTGGATGCATGTAACATCTGCCCAAGATGAGTATTTTTATCGAGACACCATCTCTATATTTATATATATATAAAATACTGTTTATACTTATTAATATATTATCATTTTTAATTTTGTATACTTAGAAGAGTGCTCAATATATATATATATATATATACTAGAGCTATATAGTTACTGTTATCTGAAGTAGCAGGAATTAGCTCAATGTTAATATTAATAATAGAATATTGCTACTTTAAGTTTTATGTGTTACCAATCATCATACATGTAGTAAAAAGTTAGTTTTTGCTACAATATGTTTAATAGAAGTTAAGCTTAGAAGTTAAGTGTTTTAGATTTTTTAGTGGCAGATATCGTTTAGTAGTCAGGGTTATTGTTAATAATAATTTATTATTAGTTTAATTTTTTTTTGTTAATGATTATAAATAGTCAGACATTACAATGTTTTGATACTAAAACTAAATTTGCTGAAAAATTATGCAAACTTTATTTTTTATTTAATAAAAATAAAATGCATTTATATAAATGTGTATCACCTTCAATTAATCCAATACAAACTTTCATGGGCTGATCTTTAACTGCAATGATGCATTTATAAATAATATTTGTGGATCTACACTTTCCATTTAATGATATAAACAAAATCAATCATTTGCTCTATAAAGCCAAATTTATGTAAGTTACAGGGAGATTTTGCAAGAAAATTTAAATGCATCAAACTTTAATAGGGAAAATAGTATCCTAAAAAGAAAACTCCTATGTGATCAATTGATAGAAAAACATTAGTCATTCAAAAATTTGTCATTCAAAAAAGCTATACAGACTTTTAAACTGAGAAAATTTGTGCGTAATTGAAGATGATGAAACGACACAAAAAGGACTAATTTTATAGTGTTAAGCATTTTCATCCATTGTTCATCCAATCAATATTCTCATTGGTGAGGATCCCTAGGTATTAACTATGCTCTCTGACTTTGATTGATCAAGGAGGTAACTTTTCTATGAGGTGGTTAAATCAGATATATAGGGACGGGGCAATTTCTAAGCAAGTAGATTTGAGTAAAAGTAGGGAAAGATTATATAGTCCTGACAATAGTGTCTTTAGTTTGCTGAGTTGGCAGAGATAAGGTGTATATATATATATATTCATGGGTGTATATAAAGATTCACAATACTAGTTTTTGCAAAGTGATGTTGTGAATTGTACTAAAACTGTTAACACGTTGTTGTGAATTCAATACTCACTACAAAAATATTTAAAAATTCCATTAGAAGAGATCTACTCAGGA